AGTCACAGCAGTCTGCAGACAGACAGGCAGGCAGGCTAGAAAATACTAGTGATCAGTGATCGCTTGTTACAAGTCTGAGAAGTTATGGTTTGGGTAAAACTGAAGGTAAGCAAATTGGGAAGGATGAAAACTACTGAATAAATTTATAGACAAGGGGGTGATTCTAAACTATTGAAATTCCAGTTCCTTAAAGAAATGTTAATATTTCAATACATTTTATAATAATGGAATCATATTGAATCTGCATTGATCACATTTATGTCTACAAAACATATTCCAGTGAGATGATAACACTCACTTGTGAAAACAGCCTTTGCAAACACACACAGCAGACTCATGAGTCTGCATACAATGGATGCCTAGAGTTATAACAGTGCGCACCAGTCTGGACCCTATTCCACACCACCCCTTGATGTGAATGAGCAGGGTGGGCTGTGAGCAAAAAATAAGTCATTCACTTTTGCCTGGCTTTTGCATGTGATGGTATTTAAATTAACAAAGGGCCCTTACTAACCAGGTGATTTGGGCACTGACATTTCTGAAGAGGCTGCTCACTCATTCAGACTGCAAAGCATTTATTCTCTTGTGGCACAAAGGGTCAAAATTAAGCAGGATGCTGGAAATTCAATGAATATTTTACCTTGCTGAATAGCAGTTTTAGGTGATTGTTCTAGCTTGAACCAAAGTTACTAAGGGAGTGTTGTTTTTTCATCCACCTTGTTGGGATAATCTTGTGAGATCGTACACTTATGATTTGTGGGTTGCTGAGGTGCACAACAGATGCCAAGGGCCAAATTGAAGGTTTGACTACTTTCTTATGCAGCAAGCAGGGAATAATAATCTGGACCACATCATTTCTCCTTTGGTAGCTTCTTCCAGAGAACAGTCTCTAGCAGTTCCACCCCCAGTCTCGTTTCAGCCTTTCTCTACAGTCCGTTAGGCCCCTCTGACCTCACAGATGAGAGCAGAGGAGATTAGCCTGTCACTTGAGTCCTCCTCCTCTGTCCCTGGTGCTTCCCTTCCTCGATAGGAGAGGTCCTCCACTTTTAAAGGCAGCCTTGCAGGCTGTGCAAGCCCTGTGGAGCTTCCTGACCCCTCATGGGAGGAGGGCCTCCTAGAAGTAGGTGGAAGTAAATTACCCATCAGGCCATGCTGCCCAACCCCCTTTCCTGACCTCAGTCTCACAGGCTCGTCTTCCCCTTGCAGCCCCTGCTCCGGTTCTGCTCATCAGCTGTGCGGCAGGTGGGGATTTAAAGGACCCTGCTGCCGTGGCACATGCTGGTGCCCCAGTTTGCCCTTTGCCAGCCACCCAGGTCCAGGCAGCTGTAGTCAGCCCCAGCCCTGCTCCCCACTCTCTTGGCTCCCCGTGGGACAGTGGGCTGTCACGGCTCCTGGGGGGACTCTGATGTTGCCTCCCCTCCTTTAAGCAGCGGCCAGTCAGGAGAGTTGCTGCCATTGCCTCACAGCAGGGCGAAACGAAGCCACAAAAGATGGTTTTGGTCTCTAATTTAAGTGTTGGTAACTGTTTTGTACAGTATGCCTCTGTGCTAGATGCAAAGGGTCTGAATGACTACCTGCTCCAGAGTTGGACCACTGGGCCCCCTTCTGTATTCCACTCCTCAGTGTGGCTCCTGCACCATGAATACCACCTGCAGTATTTTGTGCTTTCGCTGGCTTGGAAAATGGTGAGATCTATTCTTCAAACATATATTCTGATTTACTAATAATACAACATTTAGGGGGGAAGGGGAAGGGGAACACATGCGTAGAGAGACCAGGCCCGCTGATTTACTTTAGTGCCCCCTCATTTCCCCCTTTTATATGGAAAAAAGAAGCCACAAAATGTTGTGCATCCTGAGTATTTGCCATATATGAGCCCAGCATAACAGTTTATTGATAACATGCAGAGATGTTATTAGCCCTAACATGAATAGCCCAGGCAAGGCTGATCCCATCAGATCTCGGAAGCTAAGCAGGGCCAACTCTGACAAGTACTGGGAAGGGAGACCTCCAAGGAATACCAGAGGCAAGATGAAGAGGCAGGCCAATCAAGCCACCTCTCTGACAAACATCCAGGCCCCCAGTAGGGGTCACCAGAAGTCAACCATGGCTTCCAGGCGAGCACATAACTCACACTTCTTCTTCTTCTTCTTTTTTAAACAACATTGCAGAGATGTTATTAATAACATGCAGAGTCTCATCCTAGGACTTTTTCAAATGGCTCAAATAGGCCAGGTTTGGAAGGGTCTCTGGGCTATTCTTGTTCACCTTCTTGTCTGTACTTAACCACAAAGTGAAAATGGGTGTCATTTGCTTTGGAAAAAAAAGCTTCCAAACTCCACATATTGGCTGTGCAAAGTCTTTGTCTTGCTGCATCGGTTGCCACACCAAATGTGTGTGTTTGTCAAGTGCCGACTTACAGTGACCCTGTAGGGTTTTCAAGACAAGAGACAAACGGGTGGTTTGCCATTGCCTGCCTTTGCATCGCGAACCCGGACTTCCTAGGAGGTCTCCTCTCCAAATACTGACCAGGGCCTACCCTGCTTAGTTTCTGAGATCTGATGAGATCGGGGTAGATCAGGGCAAACACATTTATTACAAAATAGTTTGTGTTGGGTTGATTTGGGAGCCATGTAGAACTTCTGAAAAATAGTAAGTGCTGAGAACATTGATTTAAACATCTTTTTAAGCTTGGTCCTGAGTAGGCCCAGTTGAGTCTCAAGCACTGCTTCCATGTTGTTCCTTAAACACAACATCTTAGAAGTGTTCTTATTCGCTTACCACAGTCAGCCTAAGTGCTGAGCTGGAAATAAAATCTCAGGCCATATCCAGCTCCTTCTGCACTATGCTGCATCAGTTCAAAGATGAGTTCTAGGAGGTCATAGATGAGCCAGCCTGAGAGCTGAGGATCTGCATATAGAGTTCCACCCTAATACTGCAACAACATCACATGCTTTTTGAGATGTTAACCTTGTGCTGTCCTCTTACCTAGTGGCATTTCTCCAGTTGGTCCTCTGTGGAATGTCAAGTATCTGCATTTCCCCACTTTCAAGTCCAACTTGCTGACTTCTTGGTAGATCATTCTAGGTGATACTTCAACTTGGGAAGTTCCGTGTTTGTAGAATGGATTTAGAAGAAGTAGAGTAAATCAATTAAAAGTCAGTGTTTTTAGAATTCAGTGCCAGACAATGTGATGGTGGCTATCAGTTTAGTCTGTCAGTGGCAATAAACTATTGTGGTAAATGCAGCAGGTTCAGAAGTAGTAGCCTTTTAGTGCCAGATGCTTGACACAAACCGTAGGGAATAATAATTACAATGCTTGACACAAACAATAGGGGGGGATAATAAGCATATGTTAATGGGGTCTGATGGAGCTGTGGTGGCTTAAGTGGTTAAGACGCTGAACTGCAGGCTGTGGAAGGTCAGTAGTTCAGCAGTTCGAGACCCGAGTGTGCCACATGACGGAGTGAGCTCCCGTCTCTAGTTCCAGCTCCTGCCAACCTAGCAATTCGAAAGCAAGAAATTGCAAGTAGATAAATAGGTACCACTTCGGTGGGAAGGTAACAGCGTTCCGTGCGCCTTGGTAAACTGTCAGTGGCAATAAACTATTGTGGTAAATGCAGCAGGGTCAGAAGTAGTAGCCTTTTAGTGCCAGATGCTTGACACAAACCGTAGGGAATAATAATTACAATACTTGACACAAACAATAGGGGGGGATAATAAGTATATGTTAATGGGGTCTGAAGAGGGAAAGAAATCTTGGGATTATAGTGGAAAACAGAATGAAAATGAAAACTCAGTATGCGTCAGTGGTGAAAAAGGCAAACTTCGTGCTACAAATTATTAGAAAGAAGAAGAATGTGCTGTCAAGCCTCAACTAACTCATGGCAACTCTAGCCACAGGGCGTTCAAGGCAAGAGATGAGCAGAGGTTTGCCAAAGAACAGAACAAACAGGATGATTAAGGGGTTGGAGAGTCTGGGACATTTCAGTTTGGAAAAAAGATGACAGAGGGAAAATGATAGAGGTATGTAAAATTATGCATGGAGTGAATGGATTGAGGGAGCTTTCTCCCCTCCCCCCCAATAATACTAGAACTTGGAGGCACCCAATTAAATTGTTGGGAAATATATTCCTAACAGACAAAAGGGAAATACTTCTTTACTCAACAAATAATTAACATGAGGAATTCAGTGCTGGGGAGGTAATGGCCTTGAGCACAGATAGCTTTGAAAGAGGATTAGACAGATTCATGGAGGAGAGGTCCATCAATAACTACTAGCCACAGTGACTGAGGGGAGCCTCCATATACAGAAGCAGCAAACCTCTGAATACCGGTCCTGGGAGGCAGAAGCAGGGAAGTGCCTTGGCCTCTATGTCCTGTTCGTCTGTCCCCCCCGCCCCTCCCCCCCCCCCGCGGC